GCTGAAGAGGATATGACGATCAGAGAAGAATGTTTGAAGGGGATTAACCCTACACAGGCGAACACTAAGCCGAAAATAATATAATATATATTTCATATAATTATTATTTAAATATTTAATGCGAGTTTATTTTAGTCGCAGAATGTAGATCGCGATCTGTATCTTAAAGCCGATGTGTTCTTAAGTGCCGACGTGTATGAGAGTTTCAGAGATATATGCATGACCACATATCACCTCGACCCCGCACATTACTTCACGTTACCCGGATTCAGTTTTGACTGTATGCTACACTTTACGAAAGTCCAACTTTCGCTCTTGAACGATTATGAGAAAATTCTCTTTCTGGAGTTCAATACGCGTGGTGGCCTGGTGCAGGCCAGCAAGCATCACGCGCGTGCCAACAATCCTGAGACGCCGGGATACAATGCCGAAGAACCTAACACGTCGCTCATAAACTTAGATGGTGATTAAAAAATATAAATTATATGTACGAGTATATTAATCCATGTTTTTCCGTATTTATTTAGCAGACAATGGGGGTAGATTTTACGAAGTGGATATAAATACCAGCAGGTTCTACACGACGCCCACAACGATATGCCGTTTTTGCCTCACGCCAGCATTCCGCTTCGTTCGGATTTAAAATATTTAGAATATTTAGATTTACATAATAAACTAGGTACTGAAACAAAAAATCAGAAAAATTTTTTATTCCAGTTAGGTATTGAAATCGTATTCGCGGGTACCGAAACAGCTAATACGCGATAACGCAAATTTTATTGTACTTTTCAAGCAAGACGAAATGAATATAAAGCATGTATACGACGAGCATTGTTCTGGAGACATCAAATACTCAGAGTTTTAAGATTTTTGCATGTCCAAATCGGGGTTGGACAGAATATACGGACCTAAACAATTAATAAACAACATATTCGAATTGGGTAATAAAGAAATACAATTTATTGATAACGTGATACACATAGGAGGTGACACTCGTACACACCCAGTGACGGGCGGACTTATTGATTTATTATTCCTGAAGACCCCAGAGTCTAGAAAATATACGCAAGCAGATTTAAGTACATATAAACAGATCTTAATTCAGACATCGGGGCATAGAACGTCAAACGGTGAACGTGTTCGTAAATCTAGAGGGTTAAAATATGAAATAATTTCAAATTTGTTTTCTGGAGGAAATAATATTATTACTGGAGCAGGAATTAATATGCGATTGCAAAAACACAATATAATATATTGGAATAAACCTAACGAGTTGGTCGATAGACTACGTCTATTGTATTGGTCGCTCGCAGCGGGTAACACGGGTTCGTAACGAAATAATATCGATTTGTGAAGAACTGGTCGAAGAGCGAATATTGAAAAAAATACCCAATGTCTAAACGAGATATCGCCGCGGAACTTCACGCGCCGGCCCGAAGAAACTATCCGCGTCGTCATGTCGTCGTTCACGGTAAAAACGATTTATTCCAAGCAGACCTTGCTGACATGCAACAATACTCCGCTGTGAATAAATCATATAGATTTATCCTGACAATTATTGACTGTTTTACTAGACGGGTGTGGGCTACGGCCTTGAAGACTAAAAAATGTGAAGAAGTCGCGGCTGCTGCTAGTAAAATCTTCGCACAGAATAGTCCTAACCTGTTACACGTTGACCAGGGAATAGAATTCTACAATAAAAATTTTAAAGATTTAATAAAAAGCACAATATAAAAATGTATAGTACTTTGAGTGTGCTCAAAGCTACTATAGTAGAAAGGGTTATTCACACGATTAAGGGGCGAATGTTTACAGAATTCACTAGCAGAGGTTCACACGAGTGGTACACGATTTTACCCTCGGTAATCGATGACTATAATAATTCGACACACAGAACTATCGGGATGACCCCGATGCAGGCTGATGGACACCCGACGCTTGTAAAATTAAATTACGATGTTGAAAAAACCGTGAAAACATAATTTTGCGTTGGAGACAAAGTCCGCATTAGCGTGTACAAGGGCGTTTTCACCAAAGGATATTTACCCAATTGGTCTACGGAAATATTTACTATTATTAAAGTGAATAAGACTTCGCCTAGTACATTTATCCTTCAAGATTATACGGAAAGCCCGATCGCCGGTGGGTTTTACGCCGAAGAAATACGCAAAACATTGTGGCTCGACGATTATCTGGTGGAAAAAGTAATTCGCACCAAAGGCCCGCGTGTATTCGTCCGCTGGTTAGGTTTTACGGACGAGCATAATAGTTGGATAAATAAGTCCGATCTTAAAATATGATCACAGTTACCACGGGGCGATGGACGCGTTTGGAGGTTCACCGGCCAGCCGGTTGAATAAAGTCATCGCGGATATGGGTGAAAAATATGAAAAAGAGCTCGCGTTACACGTCGATTTAATCGAGATAAATGACGCGAAAATTACTACATTTGGCGAACAGTTTACAAAGGAACTAGCTATACTTAGTAATATATCCGCGGCGAACGAGAAAAAAATCTCGACGCTTGGTGACGGGGCTCGAGTGATTGAAATGAAAATAATGCGAATAGAATCGACGCTCGTAAAGACGGTCGATAAATATTTTTCGGACACCAATAATAAAATTGAATCTTTAATCGAGTCCATAGAGATTGTTAATAAAAATAACAAAGATTTGAAAACTAACTTGGCTAACGCATACGCCAGGATAGTAATACTCGAGGTTAGAATCGATGGATATCAGTATTCATCGAAGCTCACTGCCAGTAAGACGTTATAATATAAATATTATAACATAGCGAGTATATTATAAATATTATAATATAGCGAGTATATGATGGCATCGGCTATTCTGGATATTCATTGCATACTAGGTTCAAACTCTAAGTATCTGATAAAAGAAATGTCTATAGTTGACATAGACGGGTGGGCTAGCAAGCATTGGATTTTTAAACATCCTCGTTCACGTGAAAATACGTCAAAGGTCCGAGCTGCCAACATGTGGTTATATCGCAATTATCATCAACTGACTCCGGTTTGCGGTGACGTCGAGTACTCGGAAATAGGCAAAATTTTCAAATCGCAACATTTTCAAAGTATTTTCGTAAAAGGCGAAGAAAAACGGCGGATCATAGAAGATTTCCTCCCAGATGTCAAAATTCACGAGATGGGCGAGGATTTGGACTGTCCACGCCTAGACCAACTACATGAGCGGTTAACCGAAAATATACACCGCCAACCGTGCTGTTTATACCATAAGGATTTAAATCATAGACTATGCACGTATAATTGAGTTTTTATATTGTTAAAATGGTTTAAAAATAATACGTGAAAATAATTGTATGGCATATTATATATAATTTCTGTATAAAATATTTCTGAAATAAATGTATATTATATTATATAATCGTGTACTGCGTTTTATTACACAAATATGTGAGTGAGTGTGTGTATTTATGTATATGCATATATAATCGACATCCGGGGTCCTACACTCGCACGGTCTTACGACCGAGCCCGCATTCCTTAACCATTCTTTTAAAAATAATTTGTAGAATAATATAATACATATAGCACGATATTATTATATTCCGCCCTTATATTTATATTATGGCTACGAATATCGAGTTTTGTTCACACTAATAAGCCACATCTAGCGATGGACATGTACGGGGTAGCCAGGCTGCGTTGGTGGCCCGGCGAACACACATGGCCAAGACAGTGAAGGTCAGGCGATCCGACGGACGGACGGATGCACGTGGTCTAGACGACGCACATTCCGGTATACATCGCGCAGGATCCGCTCTAGGATTGACCTTTTTCACTGTAATTTACACATGTGTGTGAATCAATCGGTGTACCCGTACAATATTGCGCACGCCGAACGATTTAGGTGGTAGGTCTATTAATAATAAAAATATCTATATTGCGGTAGACGTGTACAACTAGCGTTTAGACAATATATTTTTTATCTAAAATTTTTTTTTTTTTTTGTTTACAGAATGGCATTTTTACAATCTTTAAAAGCACAAGTGAATTGCAATAATCTTTCGGTCGGTGAACTCCTCAACGACGTTCCATACACCATACGGTCTATGAAAAATGTCGACACCAAATTTGGCACTGTGGTGTCATGTATTCTAGCGGATTCCGAAGGCGTTGGCTCAATCAACGTGTTTCTTCCGAAGGCAATCAGGATGTACGACGTGGAAATTGAAACATACAATCTGGGTGTAGTATCGCCTGTTAGCCTCATTTACAAGGGGTTAAATAGAAGGAGTTTTATAATAGATTTCCAGTGAAATCGCATTAACCTTTATTATTATTATTTTATTGTTTTATTATTTAAATAAAAAAATTTGAAAATATGTTATTATTTACATTTTATCTAGATCCTATAATTTTAATAATTTTTGAATCGATGCAAATGAATGACACATTATACACATTTAACAGGTTTTATGGTAATCCTCGTAAATATGAGGTGGTGAAATATTTTATATTTATAAGATTTTATTATTTTATAGTTTGTTTTATTTTTTTTTTTCATACGCATTTAGGAGACGTATAATATAATTGTATACATTTAGCGTGTAGTATAATAATTATTCTCACGAAGATGAGATGGTTTTTTTATTTAATATTATATAAGGTTTATATTATTTAAAAATGATATCAGTAAGCATTTAATAAAAATTTTATGGAGTACGGGAAAAAAAAAAATTCAGAAACAAAAATGTAGTATATAATAATATATATTTTTTTAGAAAATATTATAGGATTATAAATATACATATCCATGTCAAATTTCAACAACAGTATTTTTTTCCAATGAAGAGTTTCTTTAGGGGGACTGGCATCCCACAAATGAAAGCCGCTCATATGAAGAGACTGTGCATCGTCTGAAAATATGACGCGCGATTTAGTTTTTATTTTTTAAAAAATACTAAAAGTAGCAAATTTATTTATATATATTCTAGTATATATATATATATATATATATTAAGACTCACTTAATATTTCTCCGCTGTCGGGGAATTGTCCGGATATCAGGTGTAGCATAGGTAACGGCGAGCTCGAGTCTGGTGATTTCCACGGAAATCTCTGTCCTGCATGAAACCCGAGTGAATAATTGACGGAGGGTTTTTCGACTTCGACTACTCGTAACTTGTAATCGCGCGGATCGTACGATTCCGCGAATAAATCAGGTGACTAAAAATAAAATAAAATAAATTTTAATTTAAGTAGAGTGGTACAAAATTATAAAACTTACCGCGCATCGAGACTTGAGCCCATATTCGAAAAACGAGCACTCCTCTGACGACATATTAATATATCGTTCTTACACGCGAGTAAATGTTTAACTCCAAAGACTGACTGACTGACTGACGGAGAAGTGCTAGCCATCAGAACACCGTATGTAGGCATATCAAATATCCTCGTCCGCTTCTTATCACAGCGCGAATGGGCGGGGGTTTTTTTAAAATAATAATAATAATAATAATGTTGTCGAGACCTCGGTAAGATAAGGGTGAGTATTCGATTAGATAAGGATAAGAAGATAAAGATGAGGTAAAATATGATAAGGATGAGAAGATTAGGTTGCGATACTAAGATAATAATTTAAAAACACGAGATTAAATACAAAACGTAGTTAATATAATATTTTAGCATCGTACACTCTCATATTTTTATATACAACGGTTGTATTTCACGATTATACAATTTATACAGATATTTTAATAGATTATAAATATATATATATATACAGATATGAGATCGTTGAACAATAATAACAATAACAATAATAATAATAATAACAATAATAATAATAATAACAATAATAATAATAATAACAAGAATAACAATTTAATAATTTATGCGGTGATGACCGTGCGCGTACGTCGAAATGTTGTCCGGTAACACGTAACGCTTGTCGTCTGCCCTGTTCAAGACGAGTTTCATAGATCTAATTGTGCGTAACTCGTGCTTAAACGAGCGTATAGACACATTTTCCCTATACGGCGTGAATGGCATGTAGCTGTAGACGTGGGATGGATGCGTGGCCGCCGCCGCCGCAACCGTCGTCGACGAGTTGGTTGAGCCGGTTGAGGCGTTCCGATGAATTTGAGCGACAGCTTTAAGTGCGGAATCGGCAGCGAACATTTTCCCCATATTTGCGTCGAATTCGTCGTCGCACTCGTCGGATTCCGCATCGTCGTCCACGTCGGCAAACAAACACCTCTTATGCTCGGCGAATGTGAGGTGATTTCTAATAACGTGCCTCATGACACCCTTCGAGCGAATTGTGACCTCCTGTTCCACGTCGTATGCATACGATTTCGCTCGTAACGCGACATACTCGTAGACTGTACGGGAATTGGTTTCGTTTTTAAAAAGACCCGGCACCCGTTTCCTCAAAGTTGAATAACATTTGTGGTCTTTCGGCAAATTGGAAGTATCCATGAACCGCATCAGATTTGGGTTGTCTATCAAGTCGGCGTAAAAATCGTCTGTCACCACGCGGTAGAATAGTGAATCTGAAACATTTAATAATAATAATATAAAATAAAAACTGCGTTAGACTGCATTAGTTCGATATAGACGTACCGGTATCTGTGTAAAGTAATTCGATCTTATCTCCGTAATGTCTCTTCATAACGTCATAGTGAAATCCGTACATTAGAACTTTGCTGAGTTCCAGTACGGTAAATCCTATATATATCGGCTTACAGAAATCCACTTCTTTACTGTGCTGCGTGACCGCCGATAGATTTTCGTTGTACGTCGTGCAGTACTTGAATGTGGGACGGTTTATCAGCTTTCGCATCCTGGCGGGGCAAGATACGAGTTCCAAGTTGAATCTGGCCCGCATATTTTCAATCGATTTCCCTGCAGACATACAATAATCACGATGTAAAGCTTGTACCGTTTAAAGCTCGGAAAAATAAAAATTATAAGTAAATGGTTAAATTGTGAAATAAATTTATAAGAAAACGTACCGAACACTGAATTATTCAAATCTTTAAAAAATTGTTCTTCAAATTTGTTCGCCGCCTGTCTGCGTAATTCGGTGTTAAAATTGATGTATGGCGCTAACCACGGGGATTGGCGGAACTCCAATACTCTATGTGTCTGTAATGCGTACGAAAAAGTTATAAGATGCGATTCGTATACAAATAATAATAATAATAATAATCACTTTTTCGACTACCACACCGTGGGCCATGGCCTGTTTCAAATTCATATAATGAACTACATAACGTTCTTTCCTCAAAAAAGTGACCATCAACTTTCGCACTGAGGACCCGTGTGGTATGCTGGCGTGGGGCAAGAACGGCATATCGTTGTGGGCGTCGTGCAGGTGTTGAGGATACGAGATGTCTACTTCATAAATTCTACCCACGTCGTCCGTCTCGCCCATCCACTCCAGCTGGGCCAGCGCGACTTCCGGATTCCCTGGGTACCATGTGAAATCGCTAATAGGCATATACTTGCACATCGCGTACCCGTACAAATTGTTTGCTAAATTATTATGGAAAAAAACGGATTAATATACACACATATATAATTTATATTATAATATAATCACCATCCAAGTATATGAGAGACGTGCTAGGTTCGTCGGCATTGTATCCCGGCGTCGCGGGATTGTTGGCACGAGCGTGACGCCTACTAGCCTGCACCAGACCCCCGCGCGTCCCTGCCTCAGTAAACAGAACTTTCTCGAAATCAGTTAAAAGTTCAAGGTTGAAACTTTTGTAAACTTTAGCATGCAGTCAAAACTGAATCCGGGCGACGTGTAGTAATGCGCGGGGTCCAGGTGATATGTGGCCATACATATATCCCTGAAATTCTCGAACACGTCGGCGCTTAACACCACGTCGACTTTAAGGTATAAATCGCTATAAGCGCCGAGTGAGGTGCAGGCGAAATGATTCCAGACTCTGGTCGCGTGACTATAATCCTCGTCGCTCACGTGCGTCTCCGTCAACGCGCTGTAGAATTGGAACTTATCCGGCAGCGACGTAGCGTCCAATTTATCCCACGAATCTGTATATTCATACGGGTATACGCCTTTCCGCGTGACCAACTCCATCTCCGAAGGGGCGAACACTTTCGCGACTTCGCGAAACTTGTCGAAATTTGCGGTGGTGAGGTTCTCCGCCAAGTGTGCCAAGCTCGACGCCATGAACCGGCACGTGTCTATGAACCTGACGGAGAACGAGTTGTTAATATACCTCGAGAATGAGATATATTTCTCCTCGGTGTTCGCGATTACCGAAATTCGGTTTAGTGTCACCCCCGTTCGCCAAATTCGTTCACGATAAAATGCGCGTCATAGTTGGACAGATTATGTAGGAAGCATGGTACGAAATTAGGTGTTTTTAATTTGAGGTTGCACGTGTTGCACAATGTTTTTAGAAAACGTCCCGACAAGTGGTCGTGGTGTGCTGTTTTACAGTTGCGCTCACTAAACGCACAGCCGCACAAGTCGCACATTATCTTGACGCCGTGCACGCGACTATCCTCAACACTCATAATAATCGGTACAATTACTTCCTTGTATAATCTGGCTATCTTTTCAGCCACGCAGAGCACGTCGCTGACAAAACGCTCGGCCACATCGTCATCGGTCACCGAACCACGGAAAATGACCGGAGCCCGCGGTATATCGTACTGGTCGAACAAGTCTGTCGGCACCCCCTCCGCTGCGATGACCAGGTAGCCGTAACTCATGGGGTGGTGTGTGTGTATCGCAGTGGTATTCGCGCCTTGTCTCCGGTCCGTTTTCAGTAGTAGGGCTTCAAAGTCGGCATACACTACGAACGGTAGACGTTCAGTCTTACGCCACGCCTCGAATTTTAGCGTGTCCCCTTCTTTAGGCATTAGAGGCAATACGGGTTTGTGCTCACCGCATAACAATCGATGCTTAGCCAACGCCCGTTCGCCGTGCAATTTATATTTCAGAGGTTGATTGTCGAAGCTGGCGAAGCATCTCTTGCAGAAAAATAAACGATGATCATGGCTATTTTTTTGCGGACTTGTTAGGCGCGAAAAATTCAAAATATAAGCATAATGGTTGTCACCATCCTTCCCGGTGATTAGGAGGAGGTCGAAATGATTTTCCTTTTCTTCGTCTACGACGCGCAGTGGATATGCGACGGATTGTGTGGACGACTTTTTATTTGTTTATTTTCTCACATTTTCTTACGCCGTATAAATTGACGCTCGTCCCGGGATTTGACTTTTCAAATAACATTAACTCCGACACGGGGGTGGGGGTCGATAGTGCAGAAAAGTCGTAGCGGTGTTCTTCCCTCGAATAATTTGCACCTACTCGTGTGCGATCGTTAGATACATGTTTGGCGAGGATAGCCCACTTAAAACATTGCCGGTCAATATTTTGCGGGTTGACAACGGCCTTCCGGTTCAGAATACTCTCCGGCAACGGTAAGTACGACGATCCCCCCATAGGCGTATATTCGTACACACCCAAGAGCAGTCCGTCGATACACGATAAGGTGAACCCGCTATACTTTCCGGCGTAAGAGTCTTCTTCCCCCAGGAGCCTTGTGAAATCGCGATCGACCAAAGCCTCGACATTACTGTGCACGTATAATTCGCGGGCCGAAGTTTTAAACGCACGGTTTTGATCTGAATTGTGTAAATTTGGTACGACATATGTGGCCTCTAATTTCAGGTTGTATTTGATCGGGTTAATACGCCCGCACTCGCGTAATTTCGCGATTAATTCGGACTCTATTGAATTTAGGAAAGCTCGGTAACTTGTCACATTATCGATATTTTTCCTAAAATACCACACGATAGTACGATTGAGCGAAGACTCGATCTCAATAAAGCCCGGCCTATTAACCCTTAGCATACGTGACTTTTTCCGTTTGATGTTTTTCGGAGTATTTTCTGTATGAGCAACAATTCCCGGTTGGCGGCGGTGAAAGCGAAAGCGGAAGTGCGGCGGTCGCGGGGGATCTTGCGTGGTTCGTCGACGATAGCCTGTGCGGGGGCGGGGGGGAAAACGATAATCGGTGTGCGGCTGGACAATGACGATGATGAGGCTTGAGGTTGGGGGGTAGGTATGTCCACACGACGACGGCGTGACGAGATGACCGTCGGAGTCAGAACATCTGGCCGAGCATGCGGTGT